TCTGAGCCAAGATGGAGGATCAGTGAGAACTCTTAATTTATCAACTCATCAGCCCTCAGGCCTACACACACACACACACGCACGCACGCACGCACGCACGCACGCACGCACACACACACACACACACACACACACACACACAAACTTTTGTCCTCAAAATCCAGCATATATTACAAGAAAACTTGAAATGTCACAGTATAAACACAGCCTAATTACATAAAATATGGACAAAAAGTATACATTTGAATCATTCAAACTCACTGTATCATGATTAATCTCAGTCTTCACTCTCAATAATTAAAATGTAATGCTTGGTGAGAGGGCATCATTTCTGTCCCCTAATGTTTTTACTGTTTTTGAAGTCCAAATGAATCAGATGTGATTTATTTTGAGTCGCTGTCGTCTCCAGAGTGTCTGAGGTTGAAACCAGAGATGAGATCTGCTGAATAAACCGTTGTGAACGCAGCGGCCCTGGGCGCCGCGGGAGCAAGATCTCCATTACAGAAGCTTTTAAAAGCTCAGGATTAGGATTAGTGGAATGGCCCTTTAAGTGTCCGGAGCAGAGCCGCATGGTGTGATGGGGCAACGGGACAGGAAATGCATCTTAGCAAGTGTGTGTTTGTGTCCAGAGTAACAATGATTCCTTACAGCCCATGTCCTGTTTCAAAAGACTCAGTAAATAGATTATAGAATTTTAAAACATTTAGACAAAACAATGAACTAATGATAGCAAACACTTCACTGCAGACAAATCATGATTACTTGTCTTCTATTCATTATACTCAGTGTCAAAATGAACCCATTAATGACAGAATATATTTATGTGAGGTAAAAGCCCCCCAGAATTGTTTCTGTTAGAGGTGGAAACACAAAATTTGCTGTGGAAACTGTTGTGGCTACACATGACAAAATCAAACATTTTGATTCCACATATTTATTATGCCTTAATTGGTAGACAAAGTCCATTTTCTTTGAAAAACACACACAAAAAAAAACCCAAGATGAAATGAATCATGAAATGATTAATGAAATTGAAGTTCTTCTGAATCCAATGGTATTGGATTTGAGATCACTCCTTTTAGTTTTCTGTATCATACTTTATTATTACTTTATTATTTAGCACTAATTTTATCCCATATGAATACATTATAGAATGTCTCTTAGGTCTGCGCCTTGGAAATACTGGACCAGTAAAAACCAACAGATTTATGTTGTAACAGTCCAGAATATGTGTGTATGTCTAATGTCTTTTGGCTTTTTTAAAATGTGTTTATTTTCTATGACTGTAGCTTGTGAGTGCAGTACTTTTTGGCAGCAGATGAATTTCCTTAAGCAACAACAAGAAGTAGGTGGTTATCTGCAGCAAGTTTAAAATGTAATTCCATAGAGATTTTCATAGAAATCGATTTCACGATCTATCCAGTGGCTGTTTGGAAGAAAGAAAATCAATCCAAAAAAATTGTATAATGTGGAAAATTGTAAGCCAGAGTGTAAACTAGAGTTCCCTAATCTCTACTTGATTTGTTAGTGACACAAATGATGGACAAAAGTATAAGAGATGTAAAGCAGACGTTTCCTTCAGATTCATAGTGAATGATCCTCTCAGGGATTCCCTGAACAACCTGATCTGCAGGAGAGCGCTGACGTCACGCTGCTCTTCCTGTTGGAAACCCTCCCTGCTGCTGTTATTAATGATCAGACGCTCTGTGATGGGAGCTGACAGGCAGGAACGCTCTGACACAAGTATGAACTGAATTTTATCACAAAGGGAAGGAGAAGGAGAAAAGCAGGAGGGAGGAGGGAGGGTAACAAAAAAATCCAGTAGGAGGAGGACAGGGGGCGAGACAGACGGATAACAGCAGAGGAGAGATGGAACAATAAGAGAGAGAAGAAGAAATGTGAGGTGTTGGAGACGCAGTAGCTGCTTGTTTTACTCACTTGACTAAATTTAAAGGGAAAGTCATACCAGCAGCAGCAGTGATATAGCTTTAGTTCTACATAATGGTTGCATTTTATACTTTTATTAACTGTTTGGTGGTGATCATTTTGACATATTGTTCATGTCCACTTGTTTGTTGATTCCCAACGGTTACTGAAGTAAAAGTCCTGCTTTCAATATTTTACTTAAAGCCCCCCTCCACTAAAAAAAGTGTTTCTTGTTGTTCCTACAGCGTGCTGTTTGATGTCTGTGCAGAGTTTGACACTAGAAGGATGTTTTCACATTCATCTGCTGAAAGTGGAAAGTTTCTCTGTGCTCACTGAACATCAGATTTTAAGGGGCGGGGGCTATGAGCATGATCTGTGACATCACCAATAGTTAGGAAGTCAGTCCTGGTCCAGTGTACAACTTGTACAGTGTGATGTAGAAACTTGAAGCCACCAGTGCACATCCACTGAGAATGGACTTTACAGTGAAGGAGGAGACATCTTGTGTCCAGCAGGAAAACTTTAGAAATGAACAACATTTGCATATTCAGAGATTCTGGAAGTTTTAATGTTTCAAAGTAACTAAAGGTAGTAGATTAATGTTGTACAGTAACAAGTGCAATATTAGCCTCTGAAAGGTAGTACAGGTATAAAGTATCACACAATGGAAATGCTAAAGTACGTAAGAACAGCACTTGAGTAAATTATACTCATTATATATCACTCTGGAACTTTTCAGATGTGTAGTTAAAACAAATGTTGGACTCCAGTTAAAAACACTTTTAATTCAGTAACTTTGACTAAAACTATTTGGTTACTGGAAGATTTTTTTTATTTTATCCTTAATTTGCCCAAAAAAAATGCAAAAAGAAGGATTTCAATGCACAGTTGTGAATACTGCATTCACATCATGGCAGGGCCCATTTAAGTCCAAACCATTTTATTCATTATTAACATTATTATTTAAGTCTGACTCCCTACACGTCGCTGAACTACAGGAGATTAAATTAATTTCTAACATATTATAAGAACATTATTATTTGTGCATGCATTAAAAATCAGAGATTAAACAAGCACATGTCAACTGTGACTGTACATAAACAAATAAACACACAAAAATACGGCAAAAATAGAATTAGAATAATTTTGGACACAGTCTGCATTTATTGTCTCTGATATTTGGTTTAAAAATGAATTTCCTTCCTTTCACAGCAGAACATGTTTGTGATTGAAATCTGCTGTCTTCAAACATGTGACAGTTGATATTAGAGATCATTTTTCTAAGATTCATTTTGATGTGTGTGATTTGTGTATTTGGCGGGATTCCCCAGAGCTCACAGCTATTGAGTGTCAGCTGGAGATTTATGGCTCTGTGAATATAATATGGAACTTTTTAATTATCAAGTTCAAACATGAGGAAACAAAGAAAAGTAATACATAACATTCTCTCTCTCCTTTCTTGGTGCAAAAATAATAAGAAACATTTACAATTTACAGGCGTTTGTCCATTATTAGTATTAGTTTGAATTCTTAAAATGAAAATCAGTGGCTGCTTTAAACTGAATTTAATCACACACAGGGAGTTCATGTTGGACCTTCATCTCATCAGTTTTCAACTGTAGAATAACTAATAATCTAAAAAATGATCATTTTAATTATATAAATGCCAGGAGCGAGCAGCATCAGTGTGTTTCTTCTGCTTAAATTCACACAGAAATCCTCCTTTTAGTTGAAGGTGTGGAAACCAACAGTGTGGCCGTGTTTCCATCAGCCTGCTCGGTCGGAGCTCTGTGCGTAAAGCCGCCGGCAGCCAGAGTCACCCAACAAACCCTCCGATCAGCAGAGGACAAATGTAAACAACCCTCACCGAGAACACACCGATAACAGCTGGAAGCGCAGACTGGTCCGACTGGACAAATCGACTAATCAAACAAACTGAAAGTGTCAAACCTTAAGTTTGTTAATTAAGGCATTTGTTTGTGAATCGGCTGAATCTGACAACACCTCAACCCCAACAGCGTACAGATAGTCAGGAAATTAGGCGTCAGTTTATCTCCATCCATCGCCAGAAATGTGACTGACTGACTGTGACTGTGTCAGATAATATAAAGAACAATTATTCTCTTGGAGGTTCGGTGGATATAAGTAGGGGGCCGCAGTGTCAGGAGCCCACAGACTATTTACACCGAAACACATCATTACTATTTAATATATATATATAGGCTATATTTATATTATAAAAGCATTACGCACAGACTATTCTTGGCTTTTCGTTAAATTTTTCCTGTGGATTAGGCCTTCTGCGAGTTAAAATATATTGTCTGCTCTTTTCTGGAAGCCGCATAAAACAAACACTGTGCCGCTGAAGTCTCAACACTATATTCAATTGAAAAAATAATCACACAAAACTACTTTTTGACCTACTTTGTACGCACACCACCTTTTTCTAACTATTAAATGTGATTAGAAGTCTTGTCTAGGCTGCTTTCAGTTGTTCAGTCGGTCTCATGAATGATTTCCAACAAGCTTCTTGTCACAATTTACCTACAATAAACAAAAGAAAAGAAAAGAAACTTTAGGTCATATTTGACTCATTCCATTAAAAAAAAAAAAACTTAAATGTATCTACAACAGCTGTATGACTATAATTACTGCAGGATATTTTTAAATTTCTCTAAACTCTAATGATTACAATGAATAGGAAAAATAAAGTTTTAAAATCTAGATTCTATTCCGAGCTGCTACCCGTCACCCCCTGAACTCTGAGCCGGCTGCAGACAGTCGGGATGCGCTGAACTGAAGCTGAGCTGCAACCTCAAACACCGAACTCCCTCTCCAAAGTGCGCAAAACTCTGAACGGCTCCCAGCTGATTGGCTACCTGAGCGTTCCCCTCATCCGCTGCCATCCGATCCTCTCTCTCTCTCTTCCTCTCCCCCACACACACACACACACACACACACACACACACACACACACACACACACACACACACACTCTCTCTCTCTCTCTCTCCTGCGCTCAGTCGCGCACCGCCGCGTCTCCTCTCTGATCTCCAAACTTTGTTTTTTTTTATTCGCTCTCCGGTCCGCGCTGTGGATGAACGAGCCTCTTTAACATATTCAGACCAACGTCATCTGCTGAAGGTGGATCATGCCGTGCAGCCTTTTCTATAAAACCCCCCGCAGCTCGCTCACTGCGGAGGAATAGTCACCGGTTTTGGCGGAGAAGGAGAGAAAGGAACTTTGCTTTAAAGCACGCGGATTCCTGTCACCGGGAGCTGGTCGGAGGTAAGTCTGCTGTTTGAGTCTCGTTCCGGACAGAAGCCCCTCTTTTTATTCCCCACTTTTTTTTGCGTTCATCCCGCTTGCTTCCTCACATCTCATCTCTAGTTTACTTTGGCATGCCTGTTAATCCGCTCCATACTGAAGACTACTGTATTCAAATCCCCCTTTCTTCTGCTGCTTTTTTAAAAACCTGATTTATTGCCATTGCTCTATAAACCTCGGGCCGCCCGGGGGGGTGGCTGAGCCCCCTGAACTGTACCTATAAAGGCGCATAACCTAATAGACAAGCCGGCGCATGTAAACCTGTAAAACTATTTGGAATAGTTGACAGCTACTCCTCATTTTGAAGGAGCAGCGGAATGAAGGGGAGTTTCCTCACAGGAGAGAAGCACGTTTCTCATGTAGTTCATCCAGAGTCAAATATGAGTCTGTGCAGGCGCATCCATCCGGTCTGATGACTGTTTTATATCCTTTGGAGGCGCGTCTGTCAGCGGAGCACTTAACACACTTAATATCATATATATTTAAATAATTCAATGCTTAAAATCTTCAAATTTCATCATAACACTGACGACTTTCTCTGATTTGGGTGGCGACAGTAATAGGGAGAAGGGAAATAATAACAAACTATAATAAAACCATTCCAGAAGTGACCACATATTAACCCAGTGCATACAGAGGCCGGGGTCCAGTCTGTCTGATTACTGTTATTATTATCCTCTAACTTGCTGTAATAACAGCTTATAGCGGCTCTCAGCCATTGGCTGCCTCCAGAGATGAGTTCAGGAAGAGTTTAGATTCACTCTTTCCCTCTTTGCTTTTTCTAGTGGAGCAGAGGGTAAACCCACCCAGACCGAGCTAACACACCTTCCTTTTTATTTGGACAGAGGGAGAAAAAGAAAAAGAAGCGGATAAACTGGACGGAGGAGATTTACGCACCGTCGCCGGACAGAGTTTAGAGCCGGACACAAGCGCCTTTACGCACAGACACAGGTGGATGCTGGGAAGCGGACCAGCTCGGAGGAGATGTTACCACTGGCCCAGTTTGGGGTGCTGTCGGCCCTGGCCACCGCGCTCACCTCTGTCCTGTCCGCACTCTTGCTGCTGGCGCTGACCCGGCAGCTGTGGAGCCTCCGCTGGAGTCTGACCCGGGACAAAGAGAGCAGCCTGCCGCTGCCGAAGGGCTCCATGGGCTGGCCGCTGGTCGGAGAAACTTTCCACTGGCTGTTCCAGGTGAGAGAGTCTGGACTGCTAGTTTTTGATTTTTTACAAGCGTTCCAAAATACAGGTTAGCCTCCTGCGCGCGCATGTCTGTAGCTCTTTATGTTGATGGATTTCTGTTCCCATGCCGCTGCACTTTTTCAATTTAAAGAAGATATACACCAGAGGGCTGCGGGGTGTTTTAATAATCTGATTATTAATGATGTATCAGGAAGCGCGCGGGAAGCTTTGAAAAGCTCCGCAGATTCTTGTGCAGGCTGAGTTCTGTTGTTAATGCGACATGTGCGGACTTGATGCTTGGTGTGTAATTCCTTCGTGTGGAGCAAAAACAGACGTTTTCTGTTCAATTCTTCCACCTCTCTCTCCCTCCCTCGCTCACTGTGTGTCTCTTCAACAGTGAGGAATGCACGCTCTCATCCCCTCATCTCTCTGTCCTTCCAACTATCCATTCGCTCCACACTGGGCGCCTCCTTACAGCACATGTGATGTGTGTGGTTGGTGTTTTCTTGAGTGTTTTTTCCTCCACTGATTTTTCACATTATTTTTAATTCTCTACCCCCGAATGTCCCATTTCAACTGGGCAGAGTATTTCTAAAAACATTTGTATCAAGCAAAGGGGGGCTAACAGATGGAGGAAAAAAAAAAAAAAAAATCTCTGCACTATGGCCAGAAGTATGTGGACACCCGAAGAAACAGCAAATGCATCAATCAACCGTGGCAATCATGAAATACTAGATTTTTTTGTCACTTAAGAAGTAGTTCATGTGAACATAGGGGAATATTCCAGGTCCCGCCCCTCACCCCCACAATGTGAAGAAATCTTGGATTAGCACCAAAAACAAAAGATAAGGTGATTCCTTGTGTCTTGGCCCATGGAAAAACTTTTCAACAAATGTCACTCTGTCACAACTCTGGAAATGCACCTTGGAATGTTGTTATGCAATAAAGTATTTTATAGCTTGACAACTTTTCATTCATTCTTAAGTGTGACAAACTTGTAATCTAAATTTCTTCCTCACACCACAGGGTTCAAACTTCCACATCTCGCGCAGGGAGCGTCATGGCAACGTGTTTAAGACCCACCTGCTAGGGAAGCCCGTCATCCGGGTGACGGGCGCGGAGAACATCCGCAAGATCCTGCTGGGCGAGCACAGCCTGGTGTGCACCCAGTGGCCCCAGAGCACCCGCATCATCCTGGGACCCAACACCCTGGTCAACTCCATCGGAGACCTGCACAAGAGGAAGAGAAAAGTAAGAAAATATATCAGTGTAGGTCAACAGGCAAAGCAAGAGATCACTTGTTTCAGTAATTATCTTTATTTATTTTCCAGACATGTATTAAATGTATTATACAAATAGTCTGCTCATGTGTCTCATTTTAATTTTACCAAACCTACCCAGTGTGTACGTTCTATCATACTCTAGTATCCTATCCTATCCTCTACACCCTGTCCTGTCTTATCTCCTACATCTTTCCTTTACCTCTATCCTGTTCTAACCTACCCCACCCCATCCTCCTCTTTAGTGAGTATCTACTGAAAGGTGTTGACTGTAGTGTACAAGGTTATAACTTTTTATGACTCCTCTCCCTTTGTTTCCTTAACCCTTTCAAGATCCTGGCCAAAGTATTTAGCCGTGGGGCCCTGGAGTCCTACCTGCCCCGGCTGCAGGACGTCGTCAAGTCTGAAATCGCCAAGTGGTGCTTGGAGCCAGGTGCCATCGACGTTTACAGTGCCGCCAGGTCCCTGACGTTCCGTATCGCCATCAGGGTCCTGCTTGGTCTGCAGCTAGAGGAGGAGCGGATAGTCTACCTGGCCCAAATTTTCGAGCAGCTGATGAACAACCTCTTTTCGCTCCCCATAGATGCTCCGCTCACTGGGTTACGCAAGGTGAGACAGCATGAAAAAATCAGTGCAAACCTGATAAGTTCATCCATTCTGTTGGAGGTGTCAGACCTTTCTGGCATTACAGGGCCAATTTCAACATGCAGTAGCTATTACAAATGTTATGAAACGGTATATTTCTCCAAAATAATCTGTCTGTACTGCTTTGAAGGAATTGAAGGTGAATGTGCAAAATTAGTTTCAGGTTTTGAGTGATCTGGAGAACACTCACACACAAATACCAGGTTACTGCAAATGGAAAATAAACTGCCTGTAATAATGTAATTTGTTGTCGGAATACAAACGCAAATGTCATGGATGGAGGTAGGGGTGGGAAATCTGATGGTTTTAAATCGAGATCTAAGGTATCCAGGATCTACTTTTCAGGTGAATCGGTGAGATTGTGGAATTTAAAGGTCCAGTGTGTAACATTTAGGAGGATTTATTGGCAGAAATGGAATAGATTTTCATAACTATGTTTTCATTAGTGTATAAGCACCTGAAAATAAGAATCGTGTTTTAGTTACCCTATAATTGGCTGTGTTTATCTACAGACGCCACAAGTTGTCTTCCATGGAGTCCGCCATGTTTAACTGCTATGTTTCTACAGTAGTCCAGAACAGGTGGTGTTTTTAGTGCATTTCGCTGCCACTGTAGTTTCTCTTGGGTGTTTGGAAGGTGAGGGTGAAGCGAGGGAGTTGCAATCTGCTACTACACCACTAGATGACAATAAATCCCACACACTGGATCTTTAATGTCTTCAAGCTTCAGTTTATAAGCTTTACCATAACGTCATTTAGTAGCATATCTGCACTACGTGAACAAAGAAATAGAACGATGTAACCAACCAGATGGCTATGCTAATCGGACAAATTACTTCAGGTGAATCTTCCTTGGGTGACGCATTGTAAACAATGTGGTTAAGATCTGAGTACTTGAAAAGTGTTCTTATATGATTCTGTTATCTTATGGCTTCTGTTTACAACTTCATATCAAACTAACAAACTATTTTGAAACCTGTGTTGTAGCTTTAATGCAATATTGTGTTTACCAGTGCAAATGGGAATATTCATGAACTATTTCAAGTCTGGCTATAGTCTACAGGGCATTTCAAAATGGAGAAAAAAAGATCAAGAGCAATTTAGTTTCTATATTTTGACTGTGATTAAATAGGCCATAATATTTTTTGGGCCAGATCGCCCTCCACTAGATGAGGGTTACTTTTCGGTGGGTTGTGGTGTTGTGAACTTTCTTTTGCTGTTGATTGGAAACTAGTAGTTTAATGGAAGTTATATACGTTGATAAATGCTCCCAATCCTCAATAAGTACTTCTAATTTTAAGTTTGGATTTTACAAATAGTGAAGATTAAAATCAGTTTAATCGTTTGGAATAAAGACCCCCAATATTATGAAACAACTCGTCTCCAACTTTATATATATCAAATGAACGGTTACTACTAAATAATGATGAACTAATTATAACATTTTGGTTCTCTGTCCAGGGGATAAAAGCCAGAGAAATCTTGCATGCCAACATGGAGAAAATCATTGAGGAAAAGATGCAGCGGCAGCAGACGGAGGACGAATATCACGATGCCTTCGACTACATGCTGTTCAGCTCCAAGGAGCACGGCCATCAGCTCAGCATCCAGGAGCTCAAGGTACCAGAGTGAAGAACACAATGTGACTTAATGTCGGACATTTATGACATTAGTTACAATAGTATCAGACTACACAACATCCAGATACGGACATACGTTGAATTCTGACCAGTTTTAGCTTGTGGTTTTCGTGACTTGTGTGATCAGGCAGAAGGAGCCAGAGATAGACCAGTTGTGGCCTCATGCTATGCTACTATTACTCACCACAATGCTCATTTTTGCTCCAGCTAGTCTGTCAGATCAGGCAATTATAGCATTGTGTAGCCTAGTCCCATGTAAACATTCTAGAGATGTTTTTAGAGGTCTACGCTCTTAGGACGAGCGAGTACACCATTATCTCTAACTGTTCAACCAACTAAATTATCTATTTGTATCGGCAGGGCTTAAAGTAAACATGGGTGGTGCTAACATTGATATAAATTGATCAGAATTTGCTTTATTTGTTAGAAAACTATTTACAGACAGCCTTGGAGCTTCAGAGCAATGTTTTTGATCACTTGATAGTTGAGTAAGAGAACTACTTACACAACAATTAAAAAAAGTTTTAAGTATTATGTATTAAATATGTATATTGACACATTGTACTCTGGTGATACATTATCTGTACCGATACTGTATATTAAAATTACAAAAAGGTAAATCTAAGCAGAAACCCATTAAAGTTACCATTACTTGGCTCATTAAACAGAATAGTTCTGCCACAGTAAAAGCATAGAAAATCCTCCAGTATTTCTTGCAGAGTGATATTCTTCAGCCTAGTTGATCACATCTATTCAAGAGACACTTCATTTTGAGTTTGAAGCAAATTAATTTAGTCCTTAATTAAGATTACATTATATCATTCCATCTATCCACCTCCATCCTTGCAGGAAACAGCAGTAGAGTTGATATTCGCCGCTCACTCCACCACAGCCAGCGCATCCACATCGCTGGTTCTGCAGCTTCTTCGCCATCCAGCAGTGGTTGAGAGAGCCAGAATGGAGCTGGAGGCCGAGGGCCTCGGCCATGAATCCAATAGCAGTCACAGCCCATCTGGTGTCACCACGGAGAAAGAGGAGGAGGATGCTAACACGGAGACAACCTACCTGCTGAATGGAGGCTGTCAGAATCACCAGAATCACAGTGGTGGTTTTCCACAGTCCCAGTCTCATATACCCTACCTGAGCCTGGACAAGCTGAGCCAGCTGCGCTACATCGACTTTGTTGTGAAAGAGGTGCTCCGCTTCTTGCCGCCAGTCTCCGGTGGTTACCGAACAGCCCTACAGACATTTGAATTAGACGTAAGTTCAAGTTTGTGGTAGAATTACACCTTTCACATGCAGGCCTTTGGTTTGGGTTAGTTTTCTTTTTCCTGTGATGAATGGCCATAGGACCTCACATATATTCTTTAGCTACAAAAGGTATTTAAATCTAAGCTTCTTTCTGGAGCCATTGGCACCAACATTCAATAACCATACTGGGAGAAATCTACAGGAGAACAGACACTACAAAGACCCTCCTTTAAACCAACGAGTACTAGGTCAGACTCCAATGCAGTGACATTTGATGTTTTAAAGACAAAAACAACTTAATTTCCTTGACAAAACCTGTGTAACAATTTCTAATCACTTCTATTAAAGCTGTCTAAAGGAATTGTGGGAAATCTAGGAATGCACTAACTGAAGTAGATAGATGATTTGAATTCTCTGAGAGCAAGTCCCACCAGTAGGGGTTGCGATATGACGCGCATGTACCATTTTTCCTAGGGTGACAAAGTCATAACCCGCCTTAATCTTGGTCTGATTGGCCAGTACTCGTTGGCTAGTCCAAGTCATGTGACTCGAGTCCACACCTCTGCTTATTAAGGCTCTGTGGCTAATGTTGCAAATCTCTGAACAGGACTGATTTATGGTCATATTACATTATATGTGATTTTAGAGATTCATTTTCGGGGGGTTTATGATGCTTAGAAAATTTCCCTAACTGTTTTACAGATGCTTATTTTCCACTGATCGGAACCAAAAAGCATTTTTCCCATACTCTGTTTCATACAACGAACACAGAAGTTGCAATACCCCGAGAGTCCACTACGCCACATTTGCTTCATAGCACAGGTCTATTCCTGGGGGCTTGGTGCTGCTGCTATTAATTTCCTGTAGTTTGTTCAGGTCCTCCTTATGGAGAATAAACCTGATAAACATGAGTGAAGCAGTTTGAGTTTAAAGCTGGTTTACCGTGAGGTCTTGAATTCACTCTTCATGCTGGAGGAAAACTAAATCTTGCTTCAATTGAATTCCATTTGTTGTGTAGCACGCCTGGCTACGCTGTAACGGACCAAAACTTACTCACATACAGAGTTGTGTGGGCTGTGCTCACAAACTGCCCTCTCATGGACTCATCTCATGGCCTTAACTAGCCCTTTGCTACCCTCAGTGTGCCTCCAATTTGCTGCGTTTTTTGTGAAAGGACAATTGGAGTTTAAAACGATTGCAGAGGAATTCCCAGAATACTACTGTAATTCAATTCAATTTTATTTGTATAGCGCCAATTCATAACAGAAGTTATCTCAGGATACTTTTCAAATAGAGCAGGTCTAGACCGAACTCCTTATAACATTATTTACAGAGACCCAACAATTCCCACCATGAGCAAGCACTTCGCGACGGCGGCAAAGAACTTCCTTTTAAGAGGCAGAAACCTTGGACAGACCCCTTGGCTCTAGGTGGGTGGTCATCTGCCTCGACCAATGCACATGACGCCATTTATGCGTCTTGTTCTCAGGGAATAGATAATTGGGGTTAAAACATTTTTTTTGTCTTAATTTATTGATTTATGTCCTAATTTCACAGGGCTACCAGATCCCCAAAGGCTGGAGTGTAATGTACAGCATCCGGGACACCCATGAGACTGCAGCGGTGTTCCAGAGCCCGGAGCTGTTTGACCCAGACCGGTTTGGTCCAGACCGGGAGGAGAGTCGGTCGTCCCGGTTTAGCTACGTGCCATTCGGTGGTGGCGTGCGGAGCTGCATTGGAAAAGAACTGGCACAGATCATCCTAAAGACTCTGGCTGTGGAGCTGATTGGGACTTGCAAATGGACTCTGGCCACAGAGAACTTTCCCAAGATGCAGACAGTCCCAATAGTGCACCCGGTAAACGGGCTACATGTGCATTTCACATACAACTACCCACTTTAGATACAAATACAGACTGACAGACTTTCCAAAAAACAAGAGGCAATTTAACCTTCAGCCTGCTTCTGGAAAAACTCTAAGCCCAAGATAGGAGACACAAAAACCTCACTGGGCCTGATGGTGCTGTTCAGACCCCATTTCATTTCCACAGACATGAAAAAGGGGTTTACATTGCTGGTTTGGAGCACTTCTGGAACACATCTCTTCAGTGGTTTGGTCCAAACCTAAGAAAACCACCTTCTGTTTTAGCACAAGTACATTTTTAATCACCTGACATTCTCACCTGCAGCAGTTTTTATTGTTCCCCAGCTTTTGCTACCCTTTACATGCATTTTTAAGTTATTTTTGTATTGAAGTATAGTGCATATCAGCGAGAAAAGTAAGTCTGTGAGTAAGTATTTTCCTTGCTTATTTTCAAACAGAAGATCCAGGTATCCCCTGCTGAAGTGCCCGCTGAATGGACTGCATGTACACTTCAATTACAACAGCGAAAGTTTATAGTCAGAGTGGTTTACGTACAATTAAACCCTCTCACCTTCACCTTCAGAAATTTCATATTTTGTTGCCTTTCAGTAGTATTCCTGATGTGCATCAGTGGGAGTGCGAGCCACACTACCTTTCTTTGCTCATGTTCAGCTGGAGAAGTCGGATTTGACCTGCACACAGCAAGTGCCTCGTGAACAGACTTCAGGTTTATTTGAACTAAAATCAATCAAAATCCAAAATCTACATCACATTTACTGTAGATAACAGGAGTTTTCCCATGTATCCATAGATCTATGTTCTTGGCTGTGAAAAAGCTCCAAGTCCAGGGACAAATATGCAACGCAAAACTGTCAGCGGTGGTTTGCACCATTTTATTGTGATACACACTTACATCAAGTGGTTAATAGATGATGAAATCCAATTAGCTTTGGGGCTTTTATCTTTTGTACCTCTTAGTAGCTTTGCCTTAGCCTTTTTGAAAACTGACAAAAATGTAATTCTTCCAGTCCAGTGACGGCAGGATATGGGGACCTCACCTTCAATTACGGTACAGAATTAACATTTACAGACATGGCTTACAGACTCTGTGTTCATTTGTTGTTCCTTCCTTCAGTTGGCTCCATTTACATCTTATAACCCCTGAACCACCTGTGAGCAAGGCCTGCTAGCTCCATGGAAATATTGCCTGTGGAGAAACAAAAAGATAAAAGCTCTTCATTCAATGTAAAAAAAAGGGTGACTGTTCTTATTAGAACCTGCTTCTGTAATGGAAAAATATCTGAAATATTTTGGAAAATATTTCAAGACCCATGTTGGTTAAAGGAGGGACTAGACTCAGGTTTCCTTGCAATGATCTCCACCACTAAATCACTTTGACTGATAGAACTTGCACTTGACTTTGACACATAAATCCCACAACCAGGAACTACCCGAACATAAAGGTCAAAATACATTCAAACTGTTCTGTTAAATATGAATGTAATATATATATCCTTAACAGTGCTATTATGTGTGTATCAAATGAAGTAGCATTATGAATAAGCTGTATTTAAAATGCAGATGTATAATTTCTGTTTTAACTTTTACTCTGTAACAATATTTGCTGTAATTATGAATAGATAGAGACACTAACCTGTAATGTAAAGGACTGTCCATAAAACCTTGTTTTACTGCTAGAACATAGAAATCTTTCATTGTTTAGAGCAGAATATATTTAGAGTAACGTTATTATTATGATTATTATTATGATTATTGTTATTATTATTGGTCTAATTTTAGGACTGTTTCTGTGTTGGTCTTGAAGCCTAATAGACGCGCTGTGAAATCTTATGTACGGATGGATTCGTGGAAGGAGATAGCACTTTCTCCGCTTTAAGGAGTCTGTATATATTTGTCCTGTTTATGCATTCATTGAGTGTGTCAGATGTAGCTGCTGTACAGTTAATGTAAAGAGTAAATTAGAAGATGTTAAACAAAAACAGCTGTTTCAGGAGTTGTCATGTCTTGCTTTCAACAATGACTATAATATGTTCAATATGTTTGACCAAAATTTATAATTCAATAATTGCGCAACATTTTTATAATTCATGATTTTCTGTATTAAGGAACATAAAATCCTGACATGGTATTTTTTAAATTAATATTGTTGGATTAATTTAGTTTGGTATAGGGGTGAATCAGGGGGTGGCTTCTGGGGCTCAAGCCACAAATGTTTTTCTCAAATGGCCCAAATATTTTAGGCCTTTAAAATAAGTTCAGCTTTGTGTCATTTCGCTTCAGTCTCACTGACTGGACCGAAATCAATGAAGCAAAAGTTTTATGATTGGGCAAATATCACCATATATAGAGCGGCCCTAACATTGTCATGAGGGGTTGTTGTCTTGTATGTGGTGTTTCATTCAGTTGTGTCGCCTCAGTGAGCAAGCTTGCTACCTAGCTAATTAGCTTATGGATATAATTAAGCTAAACATTCATTCTGTGAACTCCAATTCATCAAAAATAGGTTATAATAATATACAATAGTTACAATAATAGACCATTTTTGCTACTTTTGAGGTACTAGGAGTTACAATTAGTTATCCTCAACATTTCCTGTGTTATTGTTTCTGAATTATGAAGACAGTTGGAGAACAATTAGATTCAAAATAGTATATACATTCTGGGGGAGCATGACTAAGTCATACGCAGTCATTTCCACAGCAAAAACTGAACTCATTCAAGTTTGCAATACACTCTCAACACATCAAAAAAGCAGAGCAAACACCTCTTTCTACATCTGCTCAAGAATGTTCAAGAACGGCAGAGATGTTATGTTTTTACTTTCATTTGGTATGGAAACTCACTCTACTACAATACCCATGAGCCTCAGTGGCTGTTACTACAGAGAAGAAGCCAGTTAATGGTGGGAATTGGAGCTGAAAAAAAAATCTAAATGCTTTGTTATTGCAACTGGGAACCAAACACGGTAATGGTAAATGGTAAATGGATCTGTACTTGTATAGTGCCTTTCTAGTCTTCTGACCACTCAAAGCGCTTTTACACTATGTGAGACATTCACCCTTTCACACACATTCACACACTGATGCATGGCATCGGGAGCAATTTGGGGTTCAGCTCAAGGATGCTTTGACATGTGACAGGAGGAGCTGGGGATTGAACCACCAACCTTCCAACTGGGGGATGACCCGCTCTGCCTCTGAGCCATAGCCGCCCCCCGTACCATAGTCACTGAATTTATCCAAAACTGACTTAGAATCAGGACTCTACAAAGTGCAATACATTGGATACTTTCAGCTGCTGTTGTAGTAACAGTAGTACTAGAAGTATCCAGTTTATTGCAAACCAATAAGAATCCAACTTCATATCTTGACCTTATACAGACAGTGAGGTTACCACTGAGGCCACTGCTGAGGTCATTGCTGAGGTCACCAGGCATTTCCACCCTCCACCTGACCGCCTTCATTGACAGGCAGAGAATGGGGCGAAGCTATGTGGCAGAAAATTAATGGGACACAAACAGCCTGGCCTAATTATGTCCGCTGCAGGGCCCCGTAGCTCTGCCAAGGTCGTTATCTGATGGACGCTCAGTCACTTTGAACTCGGCGACGTTTTGAACCAGAGTTCACTCCAGTGCCATCGGCTGTGCAGGTCACGGACCGGTCAGCTGATGGGTGCATGGGAAGCAAAGAGGGGACAACACAACAGTCGTTGCTGTGCATTATACAACTGACGCACAATGAAACAAAGTTTAACAGCTCGCTAGTTCACTAGCCAAAGTGCTAACATACAGATTGATGAACAATTTTGTAACCATAATGCAATGAACAAAAGATGTTTAGCAGCTATTCAGAGCTGGAGAAAAGTTTGCACATAGTGGTGAAACATCTCCAGGAAGATCATGTTAAAATTTTGAAACACATTCCTGTTTACAAAGTTTACAACAAATCCTCCGCTAGAGGGAGCTGCTACTTGAATGTGAACATATGTCTTTTTGGGGCACTTGCTGACATGACTGATGCTTTGTCTTGGGAGGACAGTCTTTAAGATGAACTGGCCATTGTATTTCTGAGTCACAGTTTGATGTTGTTGAGTACATTTAAACTGTCGTCGTGGGCTAGTGGGCAGAAAACCTGATGCTGTCTAGTGTTGGTGAGGTGATGGTAATGAAATACTCAACACAAGATCTTTCTTGGTCTCTAGTTCCTGACAATATACAAGCAACCAACCCCATCTCTGATACTGTCAGACTTTTCAAGTGATGACTGAAAAATGGAACCACTGTTGGATTGATTTGATCTGATCAATCAAATAATTGCATGGTGACTGATTAGCTCAAACAAAGAGGGGAGTAAAATCACCCACTCAAGAGTGACTGGTGAGAGTTAGGGTTCATCAGTCCAAAAACACTTTGGCAGGGTCTTGTCGATGCTGTGCTGTGATGGCAACAAACCACAGTCCTGAGCACCGCAACTGGATGGTGCTCCACTGTGTTCACCAGCTAGTCTTCAAGCGTGTCTTTCTGCTGTTTGTTGCTGAGCAGGTAGTGGCCTTTTACAGCTTTTACTATAAAAACGATGCTTTGAGCACATAGAGTGAACCAAAACGGTAAAGTTGAGGCCAGACAGATAAACAATGCAGAAGTGCCAACTGCAGTTTCTCAAACGGCCACTCGAGGCTGGTTGCAGAAGTCAGTCAATCTCAGGCCCCATATTGAAATGTTCAACTTTACAGCAGCAACATGTTTACATCCTGGTCCAAATAACGGTTTTGGTCTCTATAGCCAATTTCTCCATTCATGACAACTGTACAGAAGGTGAATTTGAATACAACTCACCCATTCAAATTATATTAAGGCTTAAAGTTAATAATAATTAGGGCCGCATTGAGTGAAAGGTGGGTGCCGTCGCAGGTGGCTGTTTTCAGAAACGAGGCTTCACTCAGTCTGGCTAAGCGCCACCCAAGCTCCATGTCTTTGCCTGTTTTTGGATTAGCCAGGAGCCGGCGGGGTCAGGATTGCCAAGATGGTGATGGCCAGAAGTAACCACACTGAGCTTCACAACAGCTCTTCAGAAACCTATGGCTGGTGTCACCCATACTCTGACCCTAAACCAATAAAGCTAAGGGGGGCTGCAGATTAAGCTGATAAGTCCCTGTAGGGTTATCACTACCAGAGACACCCAACACATAAAAGTATAGATCACCAGTAGGCCTATATAATTGCTTTTATGTTTTTGCACTCACAATCCTTTTTTGTGATCTCTCCAAGTTCTTCACTCTCTCTCTCCTTTTTCCCGGTAATGGTGCCTAGGTAGTGGTACAAGTGCCTTCAGTTCTAGTCTGAAGGCACAAATAGCGCTCTAGCGATGGTGCCTCACAAAGCATCAATAACTGGGCTTTTAGTGAAGTGAATGGCACACAAAGAACATCACAACATACCAAAAGAAGAGGTCAGTGTACAACCATTTCAATCTGAAAGACTGAGCCAAACCCATCACCTCTGTCACGTTAGCTATCAGCACTGGAGTTTTATTTTGCCCAGAGAGAAATGCTGCAGTGAAGGCAGATCGGGGTCAATGTGGGGTCCTGAGATTACAGTGATGAAGCCGGCAGAGGGTGTCCTTTTTATCATCCTGTTCAAAAAGATTCCCTTTCTCTCTTTGTGAAGGAAGATTTCATTTGGGTGACAAATTTAGATCACACTGGATGACGTAATGCCAACTGGAATTCATTAGCACTGCTGTTAAGTAAAACTGAAGTGGAACAGAAGTGAACATTCAGTGCAGTTTTCTTTGAATGTTAATTTGTTCATTGTCACTTTGCATTTCATGGGGTTTTGGTTTTTTAATGACTGCCATGCCAAAGAGTGGAGAGGAAAACATTTTGAAACAGACTGATTCATGTGTATCTGTTAAATCTCTTTATCCGTCCAATGAAATCTATTTTTTCTTTCCCTCTGAGCTATAAAAATCTTTCCACTGCACAACTTCCCTGCCTCCTTACCCTAGTCCTCCTCCTCTTATTTGTGTGTTTTCTGGTTCAAAGGCAGTTCTTGGGTACGATAAGGGACACCGATTTGCAAAATGAGGGAGAAAACGGGGTCAGATGGTGATCTGGATAAAGGGCTCGGTGGCCTACATCAACCCCCTCAGCCAGGCAGCCAGCCGGTGTGTGCGAGTCCAGATATTTCACCTCCAGCTCATGTTTTCTTTAAGTTTATTTTCATCGCTGCTCCCGTCAGAAAAAACCACAACGCTGCAATCTTAGTGGTTTTTTCTTTTTTGTACTTGTAATTGAAAGTTTACATTGCCATTTATGTGCTGAGTCAGTGTCAGGGACCTTCAGGATTCATTATGTGACTTCAGGAATAAAAATGGACTTAAGTTAAACTCTGGCAGCTGCAGAGTACCACCAGCAGTTCATCCGTCCTGAGCTAGCAGAGAAACTCTGCCCGATATTTTCATTGTCTTTGTTGTATTGCAAAATCAGAATGATCCATCCAAAGTAACCAATATTTAGCTGCTCACTGTATTTCAGAATGTTTTTCTGTCTGTTTTAGTCCAGATTGATGTTTCAAATTTGCAAAACCCAGACAGCTTTGCAGAATCTTGAGTTTTGTACAAGCACTGTTACATCATCTCTTCTGCTAGGATCTGGCAACAAACTATCATTGCGATGGTCACATGTACATCCTAAATATGTGATGACAAGGTGAGCATGTTAAATTTTTTTGCCCCACATGACCTGGTTGTTGCCATCCATGATACTTTAGCAGAATTTAGTTGTTTGCCATTGTAACTCCTCACCCGTCGCCTGTACCTGACCTCCTAACCTCTCTGGACTCGTGTCGCTTGTGTTCTGGATGAGAACAAAAGATATACATCAATAATGATTTCTCTAAATGGTTGTTTCAGGTCAATGAGAGAGCACTTAATTATTATAATGAGGTAAAACAGCGGTCTTTAGAGAAAAATTAACTAAC